TGGCTGCCGAACAGAAAGAAAACAATACATATTATCAATAAAATACATAGCACGTAGAAAATATTGGTTTTGGAGATCACTGGGGCTTGTTGGGTTTAACTAGAGAGAACTAGGTGAATAACTGGACACAATGCATGTGTGTGAAAGAAACTTTGTATTACTTAAACAGGTTGGGTGGGTTCAAAAGTGCGTTCAGCTATTTAATTTTTAGGTTGTAAGCGGTTTCGTGCGGTTTTAAAATTACCAACAACAGCTACTCACAGCCTCTTATGGCGCGGATTACCGGCACGCATTAGATTGGTGACGGCGCGTGTAGTCAATGTCACGCGATGGCGCAGACGCGTCGGTGTACGCGGCATTGGTCTGGCTGGCTGTGCATCGGGACTAGCTTGCAAAACCGGTGTCATGGAGCGACGAGAGGGTCGTTCGTATTTCTCACGTTCGTTGCGACGTCTGACACATTCGGAGAGCGAGAGAGGATGTAAGTAGTTAGTGGTTGGTAATTATAATCGAATGCATACAATTATTAGCGAAAGTAAAGTTGACTTTGCCGAAAGAGTTATCATTAAAGTAAGTCAACTTTATTTCAACTAATAAAAAGTTGCTTTTGTTTTCTTTGTTGGCATGAAAAATGTTTGAAATTTTGAATCAATACTCAATTTAAGCGCGCCGACTTACAGTTTCGGTTTATTGCGTTCGTTACTGTGTGAGTACGCCGGTTGCTCTCGCTGCTCGCGTCTTACACCAGCGCGTGACTCAGAACGTGTGGCGGCAATACTGCTGGCTGTGGGCGCTGGCTGCCAATTGTCTTCGGCTTCCAAATCGAACTCTTCGGTGGCTTGTTTTCGCCTGAATGACAAGGAAATGGAGTTACAAATTTTAAGAGATGTCGTTTAACATAATATTGGATCAGTATGATGTTAAAATTTGGTTTGATGTGCAGATAAAACTTATCGATACATAAATTTATCGAAATTAAAGCTTACATTTGTGGTCTCGCTTGAGCGCCGCGTTGCTGTTGTGCACTACTGCTGCTCGTGTACATTCTGGGCTGACTGGGCTCTCGCTCCATCGATGTAGCGCGACTGCCACTTGACGAACACCAATTATCTTCGACATCTGTGCCGGTACGACGCCTAAATTAACATTAAACATATACCAAGTTATGTATGTTCCAAGTATACATATTGATTCGCTACTAACTGTTGTGTTCGGCTGCGTGCCGGTGTGCTGGCCGCTACACTCTCACGCGCTCGACTCTGTTCTCGATCACGACTACGCACATCTCTTTGCTCTCGTCTTGGTAGCGGTGATTCTTCAGTGGCTATATCCAGCGTCTCTTCGGTGGCCGTGCGGCGCCTACGAAGAAACATTATAGATTTTCAGCATTTCGAAAGTGAAGCTAACATTTTAAAATAGTATACATATATACATACAGTGGCGGCCGCATAGCGCTGCTCGCACTACGTGGTTCGCGTGCAGCCGAACTAGTGGTTCGTTCTCTACGTCGACTGCGACTGTCCGATCTTTCAGCAGAACGTGATTGCGCCCGACGCAAACCATTTAAACGTCGTTGTATGGTGATTAAATTAAGTCCAACAGGTGTACCGACCGACCATAGTAAGAGTGTTACAAATACGAAAAACCACAAAGCATTGATGTAGTCCACAATATTGCGACATAGGAAAATGCGATTCGCATCGAAGATATCGAAGAAGGGACGACATTTGGCAGTGGTATCACCCAATTGTGATGACATTGTCGCTTTGCTATTTGTCAGATAAGCTTTCAATCTGAAAATGTGAGAAATATGTGTGGTTAGGTGTTTAAGATAACAGTTTCTTGTAAACCTTTCCGTATAAATGCGTGTTTGATTGTTGCAAATCTCCGCCGCGGTCTTTTCCAAGTAACCCTGTACGTTGCGTAGATGATTTAGTGTTTGGTTAACTTGTTTGGCCCAAGGATCACGTTGCAATTCTAAAGCCGTCAAATGATAAAGTATTTCATTCTGTAACTGTTCAAGTGGCTGTAGAATGGATGCCTGTAAACGCTTCGAACGACTGCCGAGTGTAGTCATACGTGAAGAGGTGGCCACGTCTTGAATCTGAGAAAATAGCGTGTTAATTTTAGAAGCAGAAATCAATATTGTCAAATATGCTCGGCTTAACTGAGATTTTACTACTTTGTCGGAATATCAAAAGAGTATTTTGATAAAAGTTTTAACCAAACTAATGCACCTACGAAAACTGTGAGAGTGCAAAGAAATCCTTGATTTACTTTAACTTGTGAAATATAAACGGTCATTATATACGGACGTTTTCAAAAGCATCGTAAAAGTAAAATTGGGATATTGACCGAAACTTGGAATTGCGAAATCTTGTTGGCTGTTGAGACTGCTTGAATGGAGATGACGAAACTTTTGGTTGCAATATCTAAAGTTTCTTAAAATCTGGCGACAAAGTTCAGGACTACCATTCTTAGAAAAGGGCTAGGCTACAGCGGAGTCGTAGGAAATTGTACAGCTTCTAAGTTTTCTAGGAAAGGCTAACTGTTTCGATATCATGGAAAAGATCCGAAGATCCGATTGTTAATATATGGTCGAACTCAGGGAGTAATGTAAATTTCGAGAAGTCATTATTCCTGCCTTCTTGACTGTCCCGCTTTTGCAAGATCAATACTGACACAATTTCGATTTTAAATTTTCAGCCATCCATCGGAACTATCAAAAACTGGCTAAACAGATGCGTGATGGGTTCAGCGCTCTTTGTCTACAAAAGTTTTCTGCTTTCACAAAGAGCTTGCCATTAGTAGCCTAAGTCCACGTGTGTTACCATTAGCCGTAGAGTCACCCCAAACCTAGAGGAAGTTTATCAGCTGCAGTATACTATTTATATATGTAGGTATCTAGAAAATCTCACAGACTGTTCCGTTGGTTGAAAAGTTATCATACTCCTGTCCTAAATACCATATCGATATCTGCTTGATCTATTGGTCTGTTTTGCGAGACTTCCTAGAAGGAATGTAAAATCTTAAGTCGCATTTGGTAAGCAAAGAGCATAGGTAATGCAAGAAAATTAGTTCTTTAATGAATTTGATCGCGAACGGGAAGCAATACTCGTTATTTATTCTCACATTGAGCTGACTAGTATTTTGCATAAAGAGAGTGAGAACAATGAATAAGGAGAGAAAAGCAAAAGAGCTCTTAAAAGTTTCTCCAGTGCATAATTTTACTACAAGTCATTTGAAGCTGAGTCGAACATTTGCGTTTTTCAGATATTTTTGCAATAGCTTAGTTCCTCGCGAGCCCGCATGCCAACGATTGAGCGAAATAAAAACCGAAAATAAAATGCTTGTGAATCTCGAGATACATTCATTCAAACATATATTATAAATTACTCTAATCTAATACAAATTTAGTGGAATTTCCCAAATGTAAGTAAAGAAAAAGTAAAGTTTAATAGCATTTGGGCTCACCGAGTGGCCCCCAAACATCGCTTACCTGCAGTGCTACCCTCTGCATTTGATCGATGAACGTAGCCAAATCCTTCTCGGGCGTCGGTGCACCAATGCTAACCCGGTATGTGGTTAGATTGAAGGATGAAGTGTGCAGCATATTCTCCAGTATATTCTGTATGGTCTGCGTCAGCGAGAGCATGGTACGTTCGGATACGGTGATTGCATCAATAGCTGTGGTCACTTTTGGGAATTGCTTTAAATCGGCAATTTGTGTGGTATTAACGAATGCATCCAGTTGGAAGACATTGTACGATGCTTGATTTTGTTCACAACCTCTGCGCTCAAGTGCGATTATACACACACACATACACACACGGATGGGCGTAGCAAACCACACAAATAAATTAACCGCAAAAAAAGCACACAACTCGCCGCAGGACGAAGCACGTAAGGCAAAACCGTGCACACGCATGTAAACATACAGGCGCACAAGCGGAACGTTTGCATTGAAGAACACATGATTTGAGTTTATACAGGCATTGAAAAGGCGTTGGAGCCAATCAACGATTGCTCGAGGTGAGTTATTGTGCATGTGTGTGTTTTCGCACGAGTATTGTGTAGGCGTGTTGATTTGAAGATTATTTCGAGAATTGCGAACATGCAGTGTGGCATTACGAGACGGTTGGAGGGACGCAAATAAGTCAATAAGTGGTAAAGAAATTTGATAGAATGTTGCATTGTTTCTCTATTTTATATGAGAGTTTATAGTTGGTTGTGTATAGAGGACAGTGGTACGCAATGGAGTTGGGTAACATTATGGGGGCTCTTAGTGGTTGGGTTCTGCTAGTTGTAGCAACATTGACACGGTTTAGAGGTGCAACATTTGTAACGAAGGATACATAATACAGAGCCTTAGAGAGCGGATTGCTTTCAATAAATCGTAGGTTTATGCGAAAACTTCATTTTAGTGAAGAGTTTCGCTGGGATTGGAGGACTTATTATTTTTAATAAAAGCGGTGTTTACTGTTTAAGATAACAAAAGGGGACTTATTTAATAGTTAGTATATATATGGTTGGTGGGAAGGCGGTCAACACGAACTCTTGCAAAAATTTTATTTTAAGGAAAAAGTAGAATTTGTACAAAATATAAACAATCAAAATAAAACTAATAATAGGGTTCTCTTTAAGGTTGCATTTTGTGAGCGCTTTTACAGTTATAAATTGTTGTTTCATATTACGAAAATATTGTGTGAAGAAACGAAGAAGATCACCTTAAATTTAAATAAGTTTTAGAACTATACAATTAATATGACCGTGGTTTAGTTCGCAGTAACCAAATCTATCTATTGAGACCACGGTCGTTTGCACTTCACACTAGCAAATATATTTTTTTAAATTAAAATTTCTCATTCACAGGCTATCTAATTATCAACTGGTTATTTATATAAGTTGAAAGACCAGAGATCGGGTTTGTATGAAGTACGTCGCGACTCTTGTATACTTTTTCAACAGGCAGCGTGCTAAAAGCTTTAAGTTTAAACTTAAGTCAAGATTTGCAATCAAAATCAGTTACGATGAAGGTACGGTGGTCCTTCGAATACGTGCCAAACTGTCAAATAATTTTTTTTAGAGTTTTTCCTTCCCATTTCATTAAAAGTGATTCATATGGAATATACTTTACTTCGGAGTATTTCGTCACACTTCATAATAAAATCTGTCCATATAACCGTGTTTCGTAAAAAATTATTTGTGTAGAACCAGGCAAAGAGCCCAAAAATAAAAAAGCATATTCTTTATGAAACTACAGACACTTACGTCGATCCTCGTTACTTCGACCTTGGCATAACCGTTATAAATACTAGTTAAATTTGAATGAAATGTTTGGTTCTAGGATGGCATTCCGACAAATTGAGATCTATTATATGTATAAAGTAGTTTTAGATCATATCACAGCTGTTCGGTAACTGCCCAGACTCAACTTTCAGAAAACTTATTTTTTAAACAAGCTAAAGAATTTCGTGCTTCGTTGATCAAGTGTATCGAGCAGAAATGAGACTCTAAGAAATAATTCGTAATTTTTCCAAAATTGTCGACTTTTTTTACGGAGCGGTTGGTGAGTGCTAAGCGAATCTGTTACTATAGAGAAATATTTTACTTAAAGCTCCGGGGCGTACTGACGACGGAAACTATACCGTTAACTATTCTGTGGGATGAGTTATTAAGCTATCAATGGTAGGGTCCTATTCGTTCGCTTCTTCTTTTTATATATTTCGAAAAATGCCATACTAATGTACGCGAGTATTTATAGTCTCTTATTAAAATTTTCTTCTTTGTCCAGCAGTATCAAAGTCAATATATTTTACAAGGGATATTCAAGTGTATAAAAGTATTTATGTTAATACAAGGAATGATGCTCTAACTCATTATAGTTCATTATGTTAAATCAGATATTAACATAACGCTTACGCAAGCCGCTACAGCGTTATACGGAGCGTAGTACGAGTTTTTGGAGAAGAAGTAGACTACGTTCATCAATAAATATAACGGGTTCATGTGGCAATATTGAAAAATAATGGCGTGTTGATGTAGTCGGACATTTCGAAAACCAAGAGTGGGATGAGCGACGTGTGCACACATTTTCTGTATGCAAGAGGAGGTCCAGCAGATCGGTGAATAAAAAGGAAGCACGTACAGTATCAAGCTAATTGGATTTATGGCTTTGCTTCATATGTAACAATAATTTTCCGGCTTTAATAATTTGAATTGGTGTGTTGGAGCCACGTGCGCTACGGCTACAATAAGTATACGTTGGATGCATAACAACTACCATGTGGAGGGGAGTGGATGAGGGGCTATAAGGTAGCGTTAGTGTATAGCTACAATTACAAGATAGGTATATGGTAATGTTGGCTTATCATAACGAAAATCTAGCATCAGTAATTCAATTTACAACAATCTCTACTTGTCTAATTCGTATGCTTCGGCCATTTTGCTTGTTCATACCTCAGCGCCGTTGCGAGGCTAACATTTACAATTGAGCGATTCACACCTTCCGGCCGTAGTAGTTCACCAATGATGCCCGTCTGTGGTTCGTGTGCGTACACATAACCCGGTTTATCGAATAACTTACCCAATAAATGATAGCTGGGCGCATCAGATACATCCGCAAGCTGATTGTTACCCCAATTACCAGCTGTACCGGTAACGCCAGCATTTGCCGTCGCTGTCGCATCATACATTGAACGACAGAGAAAAACTTCCGTGTTACCGCCTATGGCCAGTGTCAGTACACCGTATAAAGTAATACAGATGCTGCCCAAACAGATAATCAGTACGGACATCAGCAGCACAACGCCAGCTTTTACGTTCGATTCGCATAGGAAGCAACAGTAGGACATGAGACCGAAGAGCAGCACCCAACCGATAACCAAGGCAGCCACCCAACCTGCTGTCCAATAGGAGTTGGACCAACTTTGCAATTCCTCATAGCTGGGTTCGAGTGTCGGCCAAACGCTCTGTAAGCGTTCGAGCAACGCATTTATGGTGGAGGTGAGCATTTGCGCATTGGCTTTCGTGCGATGCCGTATGCTCTCCAGCTGCTCGAGGGTATCTGTGTGGAAAGAAAAACAACAGAAATTGCTAGTGAGTAAGCGTCACATATGCGAATGAAATTTTACGTAGCATACGGCGTTGTACGGCTTCCCTACATATATGCATTCCTACTGGAAGTCAACATCTAATCAACTATTTCGGCAATTGTTTACTGTCTGGTCAGCGTAAATTAAGCACAAAATTCATTTGTAGCTGTCAATTAAGTGAGGTTAAATTGCACGTTTTGCCAAGGTAAGGTGAAAGAGGAAGAGAGAAGCTAACGCCAATTAAGTTGCGTACATTGTTTTTGAACTTGTCTAAAACTCTGGTTTATCTAATATTATAAGGAAGTTCGAAAGACTTGTTGTGAAAATAAACTGAGTATTAAAATTTATCGGATTACACTTTATTAGCCTGTGGTGTTAGAAAGATGAGATTTCGTATTAAAAAACGTCTAATACAGTTTTGTGAACGTTTGACTCAGTAATGTTTGGCCACGAATCAAACATACATAGACACCAGCAAAGAGAAAAGCGTAACATAGTTTATACAATAGGTTTTCTTCGATAAAAGTAAACACCAGTCAGCCGGCTGAAAATGTTGAAATCGCATCACTTTTGAAGCGATAATTACAAGTGATCAAAAGTGGGTTTAATGATCAGGACGGTTTTGCTAGGCAGGGAATCATTTCCTATGAGCTCTTCACTCAGTCCAAACTCTTATTCCGGAACTGTACTGTCAACAGTTTGACTGTCTGAAGGAAGCAATCACTTAAAGGCGTGCAGCTTTGGCTAATAGGATAGGAATTGTATTCCACTTGGAAAATACGAGGCCACACACGTCGATAGTGACTCGCCAGGATTGGTTGGCAGGTTCTTATGCATTCATCTTATAATCCGCCTCCAAGTGATTACTACTTGCTTCTGTTTATGGCGAATGACTTGGCTGGTAAAAGTGAGCTTGAAAGCTAGCTTTAAAGCAAGCTTGTAATAATCAACTGACTTAATTTTTTGCCAATAAGCACGAAGCATTATGAATACACACGTCAACGGTGATTCGCCAGAAGCTCTAGGAGTTTGATTAAAAAGTTTTTATGCATCGACCTTATAGTCCGGACCTGGCTCCAAGTGATCGCTATCCATTTCTGTCTATAGCTAAAGATTTTGCCTCCAAGGCAACTTTTGAAAATTGACTGTCCCAGGTTTTTGCCAACACGGTCGAGGGTTTCTATGAGAGTGATATTTTGAAAAAAACCTTCAAAATGGCAACAAGTTATCAAACAAAACGGTGCATATTTTGCCTACAACGCTTCATTCTAACTATGTTAAGTTAACACTCAATTTAATGTGAAAATAATCGATTTCTTTTTACTAGACGAATACTGATAACATTGATTGACATATTCAAAATATATCGATATTTTCGTGAAAATTGTTGGGTCACTACGTCCTCTTGTCTATCTATCGTTTTTAGATAGCTCATTTGGTTTAAATGAGAAATCAATTATAAATCACAAAGAAAGGCTCATTTCGGAAACTTAGAAACATTTTTTTTTATCTTTTATTTTGCTAGTAAATCTTTACTAAATTCACTAAATTATTATCAAAGTGCTAAAAAAGATAGCTCGTTACTCACAGTTCCGCTCATATGCTGTGTCGTGTTTCACTTGTTGCGGGAAATTGCTGAAAATTGAACGTGACACACCAACCTCAGATGTCAAATTCTTGACAGTCGCACCAAATTCAATTTCGCCCAAGTAACGCATGCGAAAGATGGTCTGGTCCTCTTGTAGCTGGCAAATAGTCGAAAAAAAAATTAAATAGAATTATGAAAGAAATACCTACAAAGATGAAAAAGCAGATCCTGGCAGCAAAGCTGTCATAACTCAAAAAATTTAAAAGGAAAATGGTAAAAAAAAGAAAATGTTAAAAAAGAAAAACTGCAAGAAGTGCGAAGTGCAAACGTGAAATGAAAATTTCATTTGTCAAATGTCAAATACCAGTGGAGCTACTAGTCAAACTCAGTGCAAAGGGTTGGATAGTTTAGAGGCCGACACAAAACGAAAATAAACGTAAAGAAACAATATTATCAAAGAAAAAAAAAACACTCTACAACAAATGCACAAATAACTGTCACACAACGTTGTAGCTGCTGTCAAACTACCGTTACAAGAGCAGGCACATACCTACATACATATGTAACTACACACTACATAACACAAAAACATGCATTTGGCTAACCAACCGTTTTCAGCGCATCAATAATGCCATTCTCCTCGAAGCTTCGTATGCGCAGCGTATCGCAGAGCGGTCGGTCACGATAGGTGCACTGTCGTTGCAACACGGACAGTTGTATCTGTAGTTCCTCCATGCGTGCAGCGGCCTCTTGCGAAATCTTTAAAGCACGCCCCACTGTCTCCTGCAGCATTAGTACACGATATATCAACTCTGCGTTGGCTGTGTTGAAAGGAAATAGAGTTGAAAAAATTAGTAAAAAAAAACATGAATAAAGGAACAAAAGTGACTTCACAACTTCGGAAAGTCATAATAAAGCCCAACACAATTGCGTAGCACATGCAGAAATATACTCGTGTATGATGGTATACTCGTATTGCTTCGGTATGTCTAGGCAAAGACTCAACTCTAACAAGCCATAACTTGTCCAACTTCATAATGCGCGCAATAAAACATATTACAACAAATGTAGCTAAGATCTTAAAATAAATATTTTGTTAGATTATGTTACATGTAATATACAACTATACACATAACGGTACATATTACTGTACTGGGAGTATCCTTTTTATTATTACAAAGCATGTCGAGTTTAGAATTCAATACATAATAGGTATATGCTCTCGAGTGCTTGTAAATTTATAATAGTACAAGTGAAACAGATTTCCTCGCATTTGACAGAATTGCATTACTACCGTTAGTGATATATGCTACAGAGAAATATAATCCGATTACTCATACACGGTTAGTTTTTGTTATGAGTTTATGGTTGACCTATGGTTGTTGTTAAGAGCATTCCTTTATTTCTTGCGATGCAGTAATTTTTCTTCCTTAAGAAATCTCAACAGCTAGTCGCTTTTCAATTTCTTCAATACGAAGTCCCAACAGCTTTCTTTAACCATCGGTATTGATGTCTTTGCCCTTTCCTAGATAATCTATGTGATCTCTATCGATTGAACCTCGATGAGAAATAATG